TGGTTGTGGAGCAATCGAGCTTTGATAGTCGGTCCAGGGGTGGCGCCATCTCTCCGCCTCTTTCGGAATAGGTACCACGGTATGGTATACGGTACGGTACAGACCACCTTGGTCGTGCAGTAGTCGAGCCTTTAATATCGGTCTAGGGCGGGTGCCATCTCTCCGCCTCTTTCGGTAGATGGTTACTGCCGTCGACAGCAGGCACACAAAAAAACAGGTACATCCATCCAAGAGGCTGCTCTCACCTGGAACATCATGGGCTTGATCATCCCCCGCCTAAGGTGAGTGTAGCACATCATCAGGGACGCCCAAAACTGCCGCCTGCGGACCCCCTGGATGAACTTCATGTCGTACTTCTTCACCGCCATTCTCGATGTCATCATCTTGTCCATCACCGGTCCCTGGCGAACGAGAGGCACCGAACCAAACGAGAAATTTGAGTGACGGGAAAAAGCACGACGACCTGGGACACAAAAGAGTGACTCGACAGCTGAGACAAACAACAACAACACCGAGCAACCGTGGCGGGCATAGTTGCAAGTGCGCGTACGATCTCTCGGCCTCCGCCTCTGCTGTGCACATTTCCTCTCTGCTTATCTCTCTGCCCCGTTCTTTTTCTGAGTTTCTTGTCTCTGTATCTTTCCTCTCTATCTCTGCCTCATTATCTCTCTCTCTCTCCTTCTCTCCCTCTCTCTCTCTGTCTGCCTCTGCCTCATTATCTCTCTCTCTCCCTCTATGTATCTCCCCTCAAAAGCACACGGCAAAACACACACACACCAGTGGCGAAGCAGCACCCCCGGCTCCGCCCGTCGTCGCCGCGGGTGCCCCCTCATTGCCCGTTACACCAGCCTTCCCAGCATCCTGAATCAGCTTCTTCAGCTGCGCGGGGGGGGGCACCTCGACCTCGGTATCGTCACCTTTCTTCCAGATGAGGTACCTGGCGAAAAAAAGGGCGATACGTAGGGACGTTGCACTCATGAAGAGACAGATTGTGTTGGTCTCGTCCCATTTTTTCTGGGCACCACGTGTTACCACTGCTGTGTGTACTTGAGGTCGCCAACCGGGGTCACGCGGGAAATGTTCTCTATCTTCTGTTTCAGCTTGCATTGTGATGGTAAACAAACGGCCTGAACCGTAAGAATAAGTCGAGCTAAGCCCGAGGGCGTTCGGCGAGCAGGGGGGGGAGGGGGTCATGAGTCAAAAAACAGTCACGGTGCCCCTTACAAGAACTGTCCGATTTCTTACTCCGGGTAAGCGCAACGCATGTTTCGAGAACGACATGAAGGGCACAACTAGTTTTTTCGTTTTTGGAAGAGCCATTTTGACACATGACCCCCCCCCTCTTCCTCACCGGACATCCTCGGACTGAGCTAGAATTCAAGAGCAAATCACAATGACTGAGCGAACAAGAAGCAATCCTGTAGGGCTACGGGATATGCGGTGGTACATACCAGGGCTGGTCGGAATGTGTACTTGTACAGGTAAATAATCGCGTGGTTCGGGCCCCGCCAAACTTGGTGTCAACCTGTGTCCCCATGTGCAGATACGCAACACAGACAGCGTTGCTTGCTTGCGAAGAAGGCTTCTTCTGCTGTGAAGATAGGGAAATCAATCGTCCTCGACAGACGTTGGGGAGGTTGCGCCTTTATGAGGAGGTCTCCACACTTTCATCACTATTCATCAACACGCCAAATCACGACCATGTTGTTTGCAGCTAAACATCGAGGAGACCAGAGTGACGACACACCTCGTTGGCCACACGAGCAACATGAACTAAATATGTCAAACCAAAGGTGATCAACTTTCAGATATCTCATGTGCCTTCTCTCGAGATCAAGACACAAGAAGGATGACCCATTCCCAAGACGGCAGGCACTCAGAAGGGTGTGTGTTGAAGTCCTGCGTGCAATGAGTTTACATGCCAGAGGGTCCTATCTCCTACAGCAGTACTCAATTCGAGCTACAGTACGGTCGAAGCCGACAACTTGTACGGCATGATAAAGACTCGGGGTTGCTTAAGATGAGCTTGGGGTAGCCCCTCCAAGAGTTCAAGGGGCAGTAGGCATGGCGGCAGAGGCGCGCTGGGAGTTCAGTCCAGCAACCAGCGGCAGCGGCAGCATAGGCAAAAAAAGTTACGAAGTACTTTGTAGACAAGCCTGCTCGACGACAAACTCCCCACTTTTACCGTACCGTACTGCTGTATTGCCGTCGGTGACATGAGATATCACACACCCTGGACGTATGCGTATGTATGAAAAAAGAGCTCGACATGCAAACTAAATTGTACATGTTTCCAAGTCCGCCATTTTATTATTTCTCAATACAATGTATATGTAATGATGATAGTAGTGGCAATGACTTCCAGTACACGTGTGCATACAACGAATCTATTCTTCACTTTTTCGGCACCGCCACACTGCCACTCTTGCTGCTGCCGTGTCCAGAAATCGAGCTTCGGAAATCGGCCCAAAGGGGTGTGATATCTTACGTCACCTACCTACAGGTAATTGAGCTACCAATGCCGATGGCGACGAGATTCACGTGCAAGCACGACCCAACCACCACCAGCACAAGACGAGGTACCCCGGAACCCCACAATAACCGCACCTGATGTACATGCAGAGCGCCTGCGAGACTATAAGGTACACGGTGTAGATCGCCCGGGCCGCCCTGACCTGGGACTCGACCGTGGGGCTAAGGCTCTTGTTGAGCCACCGCGCCAACAGGAAGAACGCCAGCTGCTTTATCGCCTGCGGCAGCACGACCTTCAGGTCCACCGTGTCCATCAAGGAGGCTTCTTGCCCCGACGTCCCTGGATCCTTCTCCTCTGCTTCATCTCCCGCATCTTCCCCTTCCTCCGCAGCCGCTGCTTCGTCAACATCATCCTCCTCGACACCACCAGCAGCAGCAGCAGCAGCAGCAGCGTCGTCCTCTTCTGCTGGCGCCTCCTCTGCTTCTCCATCCTCTTCCTGCGCTTGCCCCGCCGGGGGAGCCCTCTTCCCGCCGACGGCCCGCTTGCCCACCGCGCCCCCTCTCGCTCTCGCCCACACCGGCGCGAACCTCACGCAACTGCTCCCGGTAGTGTCATGAGGAAAGCAACGGCGGTGCGCGATATCTGACCGGTCGTCATCACTACCGGGATGTCTCTCTGGCCCGCGTCGTCTGGCGAAGATCAGGGACCTCGGGATAGCGCCCCAGCCTCGTCGCGGCCGAGAGTTCTCTGCGTAGAGCGCGGCGGGCGCAGAGGTGAGCTCGGCCGGGCTGGGAAGCGTGCTGCTGCTGCTGCTGCTGCTGCTGCTGGACGATGATCGTGCGGTGCTTCCAGGTGTCCACCTCCCAGCCGCCGTTGCCGTTGCCGCTGCTACTGTTGCCGCGGCTGCCACGAGGAATAATCGACCCCGAAGCCGCGTTATTTCGCGATCCCTTCCCGGCATGGCTACAAGCACTAGGACCACCACGGCGGAGCACTGCTGCTCGTTGATGCTGGAATGCGATGGCACCACCGTACTTGACTACTGACTGTTGCCAGCAACAGAGGGGGGCATGTTGTGGGGCCCCCAGTGTTCAAAATGATGTTCGCGGAGCCCCCGACGACTGCTGCTACAAGCTACAAGCTGGGCATTTCCTTGTTGATTGCCCTGCTGCACTCTCGCTGTCTGCTGTGCACGAGCCTCCCTTGCTCTGCCTATCTCTCTACTCTGCTGTTTTTGTGCTCGTCGGCATTCCTTGTGTTCTAATGGCTCTTCCCTAAGAGCTGCCCTACCGCGGTGCAAAGCGCGTTTTGAAACGGCGAGAGAAACCAAAGATCAAGATTTGATAGCCAAACACCAACGTCCGTATCATGATGGCGTACGAAGATCAGCCTGCCTTCTTCCCAGCAGCAACCGACACCAACAACAAGCTCGGCTTGGGCGACGGCCGCGGCCGCTCCGACCCCGCTCGTCCCTCCTTCAGCTCCAAGATTCCTGCTACTACAGCCTTCCGCGGAGAAGGAGCAGCAACAGCGGTGGCGCGCCATGGATCGCCTAGGTGCGACGACGCCGGCATCAGGGGAGTTGTCCAGGAGCAGCCGTCAGTCGTGGCGGGCTCTCTCAACGCGTTTCTCAACAGCGCGTACGCGGGCGGGCCCGCCACGGGAGAAGCTGCAGGCGGCGGCGGCGGCGGGGGTTCTGTGCGAGCACCTTCTGTTGGTGTCGGCGGGGGCGGTGGCGGCGGCGGCGGCGGGTCTGTTTTCGGCGGTGTGGGCGGAGGCCCGTTACGGCAGCTCATCGAGACCAAGGAGAGAGAGCTGCACGAGATTCATGACTTCAGGCTGAGGTATGTAGGTAACGGGTGTGCGTGTGTGTGTGTGTGTTCGAAGCAGCGAGGTTGGGGGATATAGTGGTGGTGCGATTCGAGAGCAGGCCAAAGCGGAAGCGGTAACTGCTGTCTGTGCAGTAGGTGACATGATTTCACACCCCAAGGACCGGTTTTGATCTTCGGACCCCGACTACACTCCACAGCAGCACAGAGAGCGGCGGTGCCGAAAAACGGCCGACGTTACACTGCAGAACCTTCGTCTCGCTGAGAGCCTTCTGATAACGTATCGTTTAATGGGTACATCCTCTTCGGGGTGGAGTATACAACCCACCTCTGAACATCGGTCCAGGGGGGGGGGGGGTATGGTATCTTACGTCGCCTGTGGTTCAGAGTAGCTCCACGACTGCTGCTGTGAAACTTTACTACTCTATTGACTTTTGCTCTCGTCTTGTGGTTGTCCTCCTACGTGTACAATCAGTACATACAGGTCAGCTGCGGGTAGGGTTGTGGTATGTACGAGCAAACAACGTTCTTGTCTCCCGCGGCTCTCAAAACCATAACACGAACGCAGCGGTCGATGCCCGATGGAGAGCTTGCAGGAATGTCGCCCCCTTTGTTCTGGACTGCTTGTGACAGCTTTTTGCACCCATCTGTGGTTTTATTCTCGACGCATGTACCTGGATCAAGCAGGAAGAAGGCCACGCAACCTTTTCTGGGTTTTCCTCCTGCGGAGCTCCTAAGCTCTATCGCGAGAAATATTCAGACTTTCTGTTCCCTTGTTCCCTTGTTGGATGTGAACTCGATTTGTCTTGTGCGCTGGTCTGGTGTAGAAAGCCATGGTTGTTTGGAGACAACACAACACGTCCTCGCTTGTATCATCAACATTGCCGGGATTTTTGTTGCAGGTCTCTGGAAGGCCTTCTGGAGGAACGCGAAGCGACTCTGGCGGATTCGTTCGCGAGGTGATGTACTTGATCGATCGCGTGTTTGCCCTAGCACGCAGACATATTTTTCGGCCTGTGTCTCTGTCAATCAGGGCAGGACAACACAGACGGCGGTGTGTGTAGCCTGCAAGGCTTTCATCGCGCATGTCATTTCTGCTCCCCCCTTGGTCGTGAAATTCATGGCTGCTATGTTTTGGCTCGGTTGCAATTGACGTTGCTTTGGAGTGTTTTGTTGCCAACACTTACGCGAGTACACCACATCCGACCCCTGCACTCTCTTGCGCAGGATATTTTGCGGAAACAACCCGGACGTAGTGCTGCTTGATCGCCTGTCATTTTCGCAAGGCACCTCTGTCGTTCATCGAAACGGACCCATGTCTGAAACAACCATGTTCGCGTTATTATTATCGTTCAAGAGGGGCTGTGTGTGTGGAGCAAAAACACACCATATATACGTTGTATATATATACGTTGTATATATCTTTAGAACACACCAAGACATACAAGCGCAGCTTCAATGTCAACCCGAACCGGCGAGACAAAAGTAAAAGGTTGGTGTATTTTGAATCGGGGGGTCAAAAGGAGGAACAGGCCGGTTTGAATTTCAATGGCAGAGGACACGCACACAGAAAAACGATAGCATGTCATGTATCACGCCTTTGACGGTAACTTACGCTCGCTCTCTACGCCAACAGGTACGACAAATTGAAGGAGGACTTCAAGTTCAACTTGGGTCTGATCGAGGACCGCGATGTTGAGCTGGGGCGGTACGAGGCCGCCTTGCAAGGATTGAAGGAGAGCCTGCGAGATAAGGTCAGGACGGGTTTGTTGTTGTTCTGCTGCTGCTGCTGCTGCTGCTACTGCTGCTGTTGCTGCTGCTGCTGCTGTTTGTGGTGGTGGTGCTGCCGCTGCTGCTGTTGCTGCAGCTCATCTTGGTGCCGCTCGTCGAGACGTCGATGTACTTTATGGGGGCAATTGCCGTTGTTTGGGTGTTGTACAGTATCCATGTATTGTATCCATGTTCGCCGGAACGAAGAGGGCACCCGTGAGTTCGCTTGCAAAGACGTTTCAAAGACGGAAAAAAAAATTTGAGCGCTGTGCCGCGCGATGCCATAGCTCCTAAGCATATCCCCTGGGTCCGAGTGCTGTAGCGGGCTGCTCTCATGACATAATTTATTCGTTGATATTAGAAGCTTTTCCTAACTTGCAATAAACAGCAAACACACCGAAATAAAATGCCAGGAAGTTGAGGCTAGCGAGGTGAAGATGAGACTGGATGAAGCGTTGTGCGTGAACAGGCAGGCTGCGGCTAGGGAGAACGAGCAGCAGGGCTACTGGCAGGTGGGGTCGCGTATGCTGCGGCAAATCGGTCTAGTGTAAGATTTACGGCTGGCAAAATTGTTCCCTCCCCCGCAGAGGTAATTTAGTTCATATTTCAGAGCTCGACCTCCGAGCAATAGGTAAATAGGGATGCTTAACAGATTGAACCTTGTTGCCAAGCTTTTTTGCCTCAATCTTGTATATTTGGGTACAAGAAGAAATTATGCCTCTTCTCTCCGGGCAAAGGTGCAGTATTGTCGAAGATAGTTTACAGGGAAGAAAAGGCAAGCAAATGGACGAATTTTTGACACGCTTGGCTGCGGCAAGCGGCGTTGGCCGTTGCTAGTGTCTGTCTCCCCCCCCCCCACTCCAAGCACAGCTATATGCAACATCGTGGCACGTGAAAGGATTACGGTGTTGACGTTCGTTATACGCCCTCTATGTTTCTCCCCCTCTCCCTCTTTCTCCCCGCTCGCTCTCTCACCCTGTTCCTCTCTCTCTCTCTCTCTCTCTCTCTCTCTCTCTCTCTCTGTCTCTCTCTCTGTCTCTGTCTCTCTCTCTGTCTCTGTCTCTCTCTCTCTCTCTATCTCTCTCTCTCTCTCTCTCTCTCTCTCTCTCTCTCTCTCTCTCTCTCTCTCTCTCTCTCTCTCTCTCCCTCTCTCTCGTACTCTCCCTCTCCTTCTCTCTCTCTCTCCCTCTCTGCGCCACCAAAGGCAAAGTGCAAGGCGTTGCGAGACGAGATGGACGGGCTGAGATGGGCTCGCGAAGAGGAGTCGAGGGCAAGCAGAGAGAGAGCGGAGGCGCAGAGAGCGGCCTTGACGCGGCAGCTAAGGGAAAGAGAGGATGACCTTGAGGCACAAAGGGCAGACTCCGCAGAG